ACATAAAACTGTTGTCGGAACCATACTGAATTTCACCACAGAAACACACACACACACGTACGAAGAGAGAGAGTATGCATAGTATGCAAACGACTACCAAACAGCCATCATAATTCGTCGTACATTGAGAACAGGACAAATCAACAACTGACAATGACTAATTAATATTAAAATCTGTAACATAATGTATTGTTTGGAGTTTAGTCTGTTACTGTTACTATTTTTACCAGTTCTTGGAGCAACTGTAACCCACATAATTTCCTTAGGGATTAATAAAGTATTCTGATTGTTTCAGGATACATAACCCGCCATTATCCAATCACACATCTGCTTGCCTGTATCTTTTGTTTCTCCTCCTCTTTTCTTTTTTTTCTAAACTGAGCACCTGATGGCTTTGAACTTTTCCATTCCACCTTGGTTTTAATTTTGCACAGTATGAACACCCATCCCCCAACTCAAGGATCACCACAACATAACCTAACAGACCTACACCTTAGTTCACAGATTCACTTTGTCTAGGGTTTATTTCTAGGATTTCACACAACCCAGGATTCAAATCATGAACACATAATGGGCTTGGATTTACAGCATTATGAATGAAATGTGCTCTATTTGGAAGCAGCCGGCTCCCCTCAACGTTTCGATGTGTTGTGTGTGAGACTTTAAATCATCAAACTGTAAATTATATATTTTAAATTGTTATTGATCCCTTTACCTCTAGTCCTAAAGTGTATATTTATTTTCTTACTGGTCTTATATTTATTGTTTGTTTACTTGCACTGCTGTAACTGGAGCCTCGTCGTCTCGTCTCTCTATATGCTGGACTGTAGCGGAGATGACAATAAAGTTTACTTTGACTTCAGCAGCGAGCAGGCGCACCGAGGGCTCTCGCGCTCACTTTTTATGTATAGAATTTTGAAAAAACATCGGTGCAAATTATAAGTCTGTATCATAATGTCTGGTTTTTGTGTTTGTTGGTTTGTTTTTATTTTGTTTTATTTTGGGGTGGATTATTAGATGCTGCTCCAGCCGGTCAGAGAATCACCCGCCGCCCTCTCCTCCCTGAGCCGCAAGCAGCAGGCGCACCTCGCAAACAGAGGGCGCCCTTACTCCCAGCAAATGGGCGATAGAAAACCGATCGGTGCCTATGCCATTCCCAATATGCGCTGGCTGACGTCGGGGCAGCATGAGTACCAGCAATTTTTTATTTTTTTGCCGATGCCCGTGATGCCGACCCCCACCACGATGCCGATCCAAAATCCTCAAAGCTTCATAGAACTGAAACCAACATTTATTTTAGTTCCATCCTGCTGCTGATACAGACTTTAGGTTTCTGAACATTAAACTTGTTGCTGCCTTTCATAGTGTGTAGCTTGAAGGCCCTGAGTACTCTGAGTACTTTCTCCCACACTGGAAACACTGGGATGATAAAATTATTTGAACATTACCTAATAAGACTGATTCAGCACAGACAGTTATGTTAAACTTTCCTAGCAGTCCTTCACAAACAGGGAACAGTCTGTCTATTCTCTCCATCTGTCAGCTGCTGCTGGCTCTTCCTCCTCCTCTTCCTCACACACTGCTGAGTTTGTCCTGGTGGATCATCAGGGGTGCAAAGCCTCACAGATGATGTGCAGCAGTGGGTCCCTCAGTCTGTCCTCACTCTGGACACTTGCAGTCGTCACACATAGAAATCAAATGTGTGATAAGCTGCAGGATTCAAACACAAGTGTAACTTATAAACACATGTTCATACTTTTATTCCACAATCAGAGAGAAAGAAACAGAGAGAGAGTGCAGGACAGACAGACAGGTGACAGTCTCAGGTGTACACACTGCTACAAACAGGAGGATTTAGTGTTTGTGTTATTACGAGTGTAAACAAGAAGAGTTCCCAGATGGTACAGTGGACACATGTGTGACTGCTGTGGTTAAAGCATCTTTCTTTCAGCTTAACGAGTGAACCGTCAGCTCGTTCAAACACACGTTAAAGTCCGTTTGGCTCGACACCACCGAACAGAGGCAGCAATATAACACAGCTCACATTAACAGTGCAGTGGATCCTGCTTGTGCCGTGATGTTCAGGACTGCAAACCGAGCAGCATCACTGACTTTCAGCTTGTTGTGTTTGTGGATATATGACTGACTTTAATTATCCATAAATCATCACATCTCTATAAGACTAAGGTCGACTACATGTTTATTTTGAAGTAGAGGCTTTAAAACCAAGTTAGTACAAACATTGCTTATGTTTGTAACTTTGCCGACATGTGGCCAACAGGAATGTTTTAATGTTCTTCATTATTAAACATTCGCACATAAATAAGTGACGTCATATTCAGTACTTATTTTTGACAGTTCAGTCAACGCTTCCGCCGTTTTTTATTCGGCAAAATTATCCACACCCACCGCCGCGCTATGAAGTCTGGGATATGTTGGGCCACGAAGGCTACACCGACCCATCCTTAAAATTCAGGGAAATGAAGGACGCATTTGAGGGCCGCATTTCGAGCAGCCTTTGAATTGGGACAGCCTTCGTCGCGTCGCTGTGACGTAATCAGCCTTAAAATACGGCCTTTAAGGCTGCAGACCCTGAATTGGGATACAGCTTCTATAACCACTCGGAGCTCTGGGTATGGCGTTATTTTTGTGCCACTATTCTGAGCACACGTAAAAAAAAATTGCGGGTGCAAGTGTTGCATTTTGAAGACAAATTTATTTTGAGCGAAGAAAAGCTAAATTTGGTGTCCAGCAGAAAGAGATGATCATCTTCCCGTAGCCGACTTTCACATAGAGGCTAAACAGACCAACATTGAACACATCACTAATACACCTGTAAGGCACACAGCAGCATTAAATAACTTCTTGAACTAAATGGTAAATGGCCTGTATTTGTATAGCGCTTTACTAGTCCCTAAGGACCCCAAAGCGCTTTACACATCCAGTCATCCACCCATTCACACACACATTCACACACTGGTGATGGCAGCTACATTGTAGCCACAGCCACCCTGGGGCGCACTGACAGAGGCGAGACTGCCGGACACTGGCGCCACCGGGCCCTCTGACCACCACCAGTAGGCAACGGGCGAAGCCTACTGTATATGTCTGACAAAAATAATTTCATTTTCACATATGTATGTTTACAGTGTTATGAACTGTAGTCCTTGAGTTCTAACAAAAAGAGAAGCCAGGCCATATCTGACCCTTCAGAACACGTGGAATATTTTGTCACAAGACAGCGAACCTCCTCCTATCCCTGCATTTCTTTTCATTGTGCTTTTCCTTTCAGTCAAATGACTACATACTCAATTTCCCCCCAAAGGTCTGTTTCCTAATTTGCTACTCCTTAGCCTCTTGACATCAGGCCACTAGGTGTCCTCCTTATCCATGAAAGCTCCAAAGTCATGCCGGTTACAGTTCAGAAAGCATATCAATGTGCAAGGAATGAGAAACACTGTCATCCTAAAAGATTAAAATTATAGGTAATTTCCCAGACTGTAAACCTCGGGGACATAAAGGAAAACACACCCATACCACGGTTCATGGATGTAGGCATGTTGAGCAAGAGGGTGAGATGGAGGCAGGTGATCGGCTGAAAACAAAGGGAGCTGCCAAGAGGAGAAGAAGGAAAGGATTTATATTGCTGTTACTGTTTATTGTATGTTCTGGATATTTGTTTATTTAAACATCCATGCCAATAAAGCCCTTAAAAATAAAAATGAACACATTAAACTTCACCACACCTTACACCAAGTTCTTGATCTGGTTTGTTCTGAAACCATGTGACCAGCAAACACTTCCACCGATCTCGTACCGACCAGAAATCAGAAAGTGCTTCAGCGTGACAGCTAGTTTCTAGGAGGATGGAATTTTGTTTTCTGTCATCAGCCACTAGAGGGTGGATGGATTCAAAGATCTGGATCCAGGCAGAGGTCTTGGCTGTATGTAAAAGATGTCTGAAAGATTGATGAGGAAGCTGCGTAAGCCTGTATTCTCGCTAAAATCACTGCACACAAATAATTCAATAGTCGGGGGGGGGGGGCTCTGAGCCTCTGCTCACGACACTGTGATGGCAAAGAGCAACAATAGTGTAGTGATTTTTAAAAATATCACAGACCAGTGAGTGACTGTGTTCATCTTTTATATACAGTCTATGTATCTGACCCAAGCAAGAAACGCAGTCTGACGTGCATTTTTAAACAAAGATTTATGCTGCTTCTACTGAACCCAGTAATATTTGTACACATTTAAATAGATTGTTCTTACTCATAACCTCCTTTTGCTATGGAAACATTAGGATTGCTCAAAGAAAATCGCTGCATGTGCGCTGACAGGACTCTGTATCGACTTTTGGCATCGGTATTTGTTATATGTCATGTGCGTGGGTTCTGATCAAAAAATACCTTTCCCTCTCCATAGCCTCAGGCTATATCCACACTAATGCGTTACTGTTTTATTCATCTAAAGAGATATGGAGAGGTTACTATACAAGTGATTTCACACAGGAAAACCTAAATAAATACTTCAAAATAAAAAAATCAGCTCCTGGGATGTCTTGGGGTCGCCGGCCTTTTTGGTCATTTTTCACAATGATGTTTTTATCGGAGAGCTTTGAGCTTGAAAAGAACCCGAGTACCTCCATCACGTTGTCGTAGCCACCCTGTAGTCGCCCACTCTCTCTCTCTCTCGTTCTTACCGGCATACACCGGCCAATCAGAAAGCTAGGATCCCCACCACCACCACCCCTCCCCGTCTCTCTCCCCCCCCCTCTCTCTCTTCTCTTGCACTGCCAGTCCACTGAAAGCGGTCCTCCTCCTCTCCTGTCACACACACACACACACACACACACACACACACACACACACACACCACTCACTTTTTTCAACACTCAGGAGAAATTCAACAGACAATTTATACCCGTCTGTCAGCATGGGGAGCGCTTGTTTTTCTC